AGTAGAAATAATAATAATAATAATACTAATAATAATAATAATGATGATTATAATAATAATAATAATGATAATAATAGTGAAAATGTTACCTTTCAGAGTCTTCGTTTGTGTGAGTCCAAACGAAAGCTTGGACTCACACAAACGAAGACTCTGAAAGGTAACATTTTCACTATACAATGCAAACAACGGAGTCAGATAGTAATATACATGCTGTTAATAATAATAATAATAATAATAATAATAATAATAATAATATGAATAATAATAATAATAATACGAATTTATAATCTCAAAGCAATATATAGGTCTACATTTATCCTGTTCAAATGACTTATACAATCCTTTTCATGAATTGTATATTTTTTGTATATCCCGATTATTTTGATTGTAGTTTTACCTTGCTGTTTGTGTTTGAAATAAAAAAAAATGATTGAATTGAATCGATTACCAGCCTATTAAGTTGATTTATGCATGTGCAAAGATTAAGGAACGGTATTCCGTCTGTTAATTAGTGAGACAACTACCTTCTCAATTTATTTTCCAATAGTTAATAATAACTAATTTGACCAATTTCCATGAAATATTATTATGGTTCAAATAAAAAAAAAAGTGGTATTTAGATAAATTAGTTATTATTAAAGATGTGTATAAGAGACAGACTGAACTCTGCAGAAACCTCACATCGATCTTCGCATCGCGATGTAAAACAAAATGTCGGAAAACTTTTCTTTGACGCATGCGCATTTGCATAAATGTCTACACACACACACACACACTACACACAATAAAAAACATAGGAAATAGCAAGAGTGATTACAATAGTTCCTATTGCATTACATGCATAGGAACTAAAAAGTGGTTACTTTTTTTAAGTTATTTTATTTGCTTTAACAGATAATAACCAGGAAGACTACTCCTTTGATGAGGGTTCTGTGACACAGGCTTCTACAATTCTTAAAGCTATAGAAAATTCATTCGAGGATACTGAAATTGATATCGGTTAGTTGACTATTAATTTATATATTTTGGATTGCCTGATAAGGAAATGCTTTTTCTTTTGAGTTTACAATTTCAATTTTCATACTTATTGTTTTAATTTGGAATATTTATAAAGTGATCTATTGTGAATGTTTTTCTATTTAATGTTATAGATCAAGATGGGGAGGACTTTGAAACTCCAGTACAAGCACAAGTTTCCCCACATGAACATTGAAGGTCAGTTCTACAACATAATTAATCCATTCCTTTTTTAAAATTTAATCTTCAGATTTAATTTTTGTTCCTTTTTCTAGTGTTATACAATTAAATTACAAGAAAATAACACTATTTTTTACTCATTTAAGCAAACATGCCATCTTTATAATTTGCTGTTTCAATAATACCATACATCATATTTCATTTTAGAAAGAAAGAAAGCGTGGTCAAAGAAGGGACAGAAAGCTGCAAAGGTTTGTAAAAAGAATGTATTTTTCATGTGAATTAATGTAATGTAATGTACTTCTATTTATATCGAGCTTTATGCTGGAGTATCAAAGAGTTTAAAAATTACTCGTTCGTTTATGGCTCATATTACATGCAACGTTTGTAGTTCACTGCCTTTTTGTACCTTGAATTTGATAATGTTATACTGTACTATTGGGCTTACCTAAACATCAATATCCAAAAAGTTATTGCATAGGATGTGGTTAGGGGGGTGGGGGGTGTGGTGCCTCTGAAACTACTATACAACATAATTTCCTACTCTACCTACAAACATAAGTTGATTGTTGTTCCCTCTAATGTCTTTTCATTTGCAGAAGGAAGCATGTCAGCCCATTTCCAGTAAATATGAGCAGGCTGTGATCGATTTCATTAACAAACCAGAAGAACCGCAGGACCGGATTGCAAAATTTTGTTCTTGGTTACAATCAGAAATAAAAGGCAGATCGGAGATGGACTAAAAAAAAATAATGAAAGGAATTAATGATTTAGTTTTTGAATAAGTTGTTAAAAATTGTAAATTGTAATAGACGGAGTTGGCGATATTTATTTAGAAACAAGCTAAGAGATGTAGGCCTAGGCCCTCCGTGTAAATACTCTGTTTGTAGTAATTGTTATTGTCGTGATGGAATAGACAATAACTGGATTTGCGTCAGGAGAAATATGTATAGGTGTAATTTTGCCCTACCTGACGTGGAAATGTACCGAATACTCAGTACATTTGAAAACAACTGCGAAAAAAATCGCAAGCTGTTCTCGGGTGGGACTCGAACCCACGAACTCTAGATCACTTGGACTCGAATTCAACCCTGGCCATCAGGCGCAAGCTCGGTGGTCTAGAGGTATGATGCCAGGCTAGTGATCTGGAGATCGTGGGTTCGAGTCCCACCCGAGAACAACTTGCGATTTTTTTCTTGTGTTTTCAAATGTACTGAGTATTCGGTACATTTCCACGTCAGGTAGGGCAAAATTACACCTATACAATACTCTGTTTATTATGAAATATGTATACATTTCGATGTTGTAACCATGGTACGTATTTCCTGCTGTATTTCAATATTCTGATATCACCCTCCCACAATTTTCAACTATATCATTCTGCCAAGGTACTGAACCTTCTGCTGAATTAAAATAGTCACAGAAGAAGTCCCGAACATCTTTAGCGGAATATGAATAGTTCGGGGATCCTTGGCGATTTAACCTTCGTAGGCCATCGTCGTCTTTTGTTACACTACGCCACTCTCCAGCTTTAAAATGCCCACTGCATTCCGAATCTATGAACCCTGAGGGAATGTAGTGGGCATTTTCAGTTTGGATCATGTAGTTGTGCAACACAACACAAGCCTTAACTATGGCATCAACAGTATCCAACCCAGCCTTGATGGTGGTACACAAAATCCTCCAGCGGGCAGCCATCACTCCGAAGGCATTCTCGATGCATCTCCTTGCTCTAGACAATCTATAATCGTAGACCCTCTTTTCAAATGTCTGATTGTTTTCACTGAATGGCTTCATGAGCCACGACCTTAAAGGGAAGATGGCATCACCTAATATGACATGTGGCAATTTTACCCCACATACGTCAGCTGGTGGTGGCACATTCAGAGAGCCTGCTTCCATTCTTTTGCTCAAGGCAGAGCGACCGAATATTGATGCATCATTTTCATGGCCTTCTGCCCCCATACTTAACCAGGTGAAACAATAGTTTGGATCACATAATTGTAATTAAAAAAGCTGCTTCCACTGTTCTGTGGCTTCTCAATCATTATATGTTTCCCATTGAGACAACCAATACAGTTTGGAAAGTTCCACTGCTCTTCAAAATTCTTAGAAATCGTAAGCCAATACTCCTCATACCTGGGCATGCTCAGGTATATGGGTTGGAGTGCAATCCACAGAGCAGCACATACTTCACGTATGATGTTAGATACTAAAAGAAAAAAAAAATATATTATCAATATTATTCATAATTTTGGATGACAAATTTATTGAACTGTATTATTGTCTAAAAACTCGTTCTGCTTATAGCATTTTATTCTATGGCACTATTCAGTAAATATTTAAAGACTGAATCTAGAAAATTGAGTTTAAATACAGCTATAATATGGTCAGTACTGGAAAAAAAAGTGTGCAAGTTGTCTAGACAAAATAGCTCCAGCACCTTGTTTTGCGAACCCATTAATTTGGAATAGAATTGAAATGTTATTTTGCCACAGTGAACAATTGGAAATACAGAAAACTAAAATTTTTATCCTGCTTGCCACCAGCAAAAATCTTTCATTACATTTTTTTTTCAGAATTAAAAACGTATTTAACTTACATCGCAGTAAATCAGAGTGTGTAGGCCTACGATCAATCGCTACACACACACACACACAGTTGCTAGCTTCCATGCAAAATAGAGAAATTGTAGTTATCAAAGATAAACAATTCAACAAGACACACATAGTCTTGCTGACAAGCAACACACACTAGTAGTATTCACACTGTTATTGTTGAAATGTGAGTTTGATAATAAAGAAATGAAACAAAAGTATTTTTCGTACTTTTATTCATTGATTGATAAGGAGGCAAAAGTTTCCCCTCTGCTTTTATGTAAGGGCTTGGGACCTTCAAATACAAAGAGCAAGTATTTGACAACAGATTATGTTATTGTGTGTATTATTTTAAATGACACCCTGTCTCTTATACACATCTAGATGTGCAGCATTAGAAACTTTTGATAGTTGTACAGTTACTGGACATAAATTCTGCGATGTGTATAAGAGACAGGTATAACACATGAAGGGAAATT